ATTATTGCAATGAAACATAACTTCTAATGACCACCATTGGCTGTTACAATCCATTGACCACAACTCATATTTAGACATATGAAAAATATGAAACAATAACAAAGTAAAAGTCTGATGCGTGCGTGGGCGAGTGATTTCGGAAATGAGGTTTATGGGTTATGTGTATGGATGGGTGTGTGTTTGGAATAGTTACTGAAGGGTAAAAAGGTAACCGAAAGATAGATTACAATCATCACCAAGGTATAAAGTACGCGCTACCAACCGAGGATGAAGATCGAGATCGATGAAGTTCACCATCAAGGCTTAAAGTACAAGCCACCCGCTAAGGGTAAAGGATTTCGGGATAAGAGAAGCTCACCACCAGGGCCTAAAGGGTAAATCGCCAGTCGAGGATAAAGTGCTTCTTGGCTCACTACCGAGGAGTAATCCAATCTCCAAGGATAAAAAAACCAATATAGGAGTTATCTACTCTCCAAAGAAATTCGCTCACGCAGAGGAAAATCTCATCTATTCATTCATCAAAGTCTTCTTCATTACAATGGGGAACAATCCTCTATTTAAAGAGAGACTAAGACTTAGGAAATAAACAAACATTAAAAGACTTGGAAACTAGAAAGCAAATAAAATCCAAAGAACTTAGTACTTTGACTCTCGAGACTTGCATAACGATTAAGACTCATAAAGACCTAAGAACTTAGAAAAGCATCAATGACGTTTAGGAACTATGAATAGCAACAAATACTTTGAGACTTGTAATATTGACTCTTCAACCATTCGGTTCATCTTTCAAAATTCGTGCTTTGGCCTTGATGAGAGGATAATCACCTCAATAAATCAACAAATGTCAGAGGAAATTGCTTAGAACAACCTCCCATCGATATGTTGTCGATCCGCATTGAAATCAGCAACTATTCTTTGTGAAACAATAGCTTTAAACGTCAAGGGAAGAATCGACAACTTAATAATTGGAAACTTGGTCAATAGTCTCCTTGTCAATGATCCAATGAAGCATGTTAAGACCGAAGCATGTTAAGACCGAAATCTACCTTTTGCTTGAATGAACATTGATGGTGCTGATTTTGTCGATGCAGTTAAGTCGAATGCTCCCGTATCAAAGTCTCAATCATGGATATCGTCGAATAGGAAAGCTCATATTAGTAGTTCATATTACATGCTCATCATCGGACGTCATGGAATATTGCAGGATTGCACAAAGACATGGAACAAGAAAAACACAGAGACACGTTCCAGGTTCTATGCCTGTCAGAACCGATTTCTCAATTTTTGAAACCTAAAACTTACCCTACATACTATAGAACCTAGAACCGGACCGGTTTTTCGATTCCTGATTCTACCCACCCCTACATATACCATTTCTTAATCCATATTTGATAGGTTGAGTTATTAAATGGGTTAGTTATAGTCAGTAAATAAGTTATGAATGGATTTAAAATGGTAAAACCTAAACTGATATGAGTGTTAAATTGGTTCACAACTTACTTAGACCCAACTTACTTCTATGACCCTCTCTTAACTCTCTATCGCCCTCACTTGATCTTGTGCTTGTTTTCTCCGCACTCTCACATCTGTTTGAGTATAAGTTTTCCTAGATTTGATTAAATATGAAAGTGTTTTAATAATATGTGTAATGACGATATAGGTCACTAGATTTATATTGCATGGAAATTAGTCAATTTGGGTCGGATCATTTTCGATTCGACTCACCCCGTTTGACGGGTCTACTCAAGTCGTAGATTGAATTATTCCTAAAAATCGCATGTTTATCATGTGGAAATTAATTCACGCAGCTTAGAAAGTTCACATGCATGCTGAGATATAGTCGGATTCTGACTCCTAACAATTTGTTTTTCCATTTGATAATCACATGTGTTCCAAGCTTTCATTATGTTTGAAATCGGTAGGACGGTCAAGCATCAAACTCATCCCTTCGAATAATCTCTTTCTTTTTTAGCACGGACCCTACGCATTTCAAATTGAATGTCGACCAAAAAATGATTGAGTCGATGACGAACGCTGCTGTCTATCTACTAAATTTATTTCATTAGGTAGGGTTTCGATAAATTTCGTGACTTCCTTGCGCACGTAATGATTTCACGGTCTGTAACTCATCTGGGGCCACAATAAGACTACGTAGGGAAAGCCATGAAAAGCTCCTAAAACCAAACACCTAATAAGATTTTGTGGGTAAAGGCACGAAGGTGTCCCACGCTTGATCATTAAAATTTAAATGATTGATTGTAAAATTTCGTAATCATTGAGATAAAGTTGTTCCAAAAAAATTCTAAATTCATTGTACAACAGTTAATCCAATCTTAAACTTCTTGATTTGGCTAATTTAGTCATAAACCGTTCAACGATTTTATAAAATATTTAAGATTGAATTGGCCAAATTAGAAAGTCACTCAAATGGCCGCCGTACACTAAGTCTAGCACTTTTTTGGACGATTATCGTAATTTTTATATACTGATTTTTTTGGTATTATGTATAATCGATATTTTAAAATTTGTGACTATTACGTATCCAATATATTTAATAAACGACCAACCCGTGAAATTGCCCACATTGGTCATCATAGATTGAGCAACAATGTCGAATCAAAGGAGGAAGTCGTGTCCATGAGGGCTTAGTGCCTTGTTATCTACCTTTTAACTTTTGACTATTTTACTAATTTTGCAAAATTTACACTTTGACTTCTAATAACGCATGATTTGTTAATCGTATCATCCTACTGGACACGAACACAACCGAAAACTTAATGAGCTAACACGTCACGACACATATAAAACGATAAAATGGCAGATTGACAAGCTAACGCGATTGCATAACCCATCATGTCACGGAAATCAATTCACCGACACGAACTTGACATGAAATATCATCGAGTTTGCATAAAATCTACTTACAAATTACAATAACCCCGTCAACAAATTATCATCGAATCAAATTGAAAGATATGTTCAAAGTCAATGAAATATCATCGAATTTAAATCTTAACAATAAATAACATGAAAAAAATAGACTTTAACTAATCATGTTGAAACGGATCACATACAATCCGTTAATTTAAACAGAGTATTCGGGTCAATTTTGAGTCTAGTGGGTCGGACACGAACACGATTATTAATATGATATCGCCGGTTGACACGAATCGACTGGAACATGATGACTCTCAACCTAAACTCGCTGACTTCGTGCCGTATTCTAGTCATGTTATTTGCCGGGTTAAGTATGACCACCCTTACGTGGAAATTTTTTTTCCAAGATTCTGAGTAGTTTATTTCCTTATCATTTGTTAGTTTTAGCATATATTGCAGCATATTGGAGGATTTGATTCAATCTTTGGGATTATCTTTTAAGATTTTTTAGATTTAGCGGTATAAGATGTTTTATTTCATTAGCTCATCTTTTTCCCTATTTGAATCAAGATTTTCGTCGGGCCTTCTAGATATAAAATATACATTTTGTTTTCTGGTAAGACAAATTACCTTCTCGAGTCAATGATATAATTATGAGGGTTTTTTTTTTCTAATTTTGTGCTCGTGAGCGTGTTTGCGAGTTTTAATCCCCGTTGTCACTGTTGCGAATAACAATTCGTGTTATCTTCATTCCCACCGCGTTCAGGGTAGTATCAGACCAGATTAGTTGTGAGAACGCAAAACACAACACATTTTCGAATAGTAGATGTTATAACTTTCGAATCACGATATATCTCATGGACTTATGACTAGGAACAACATTGCACACAGCCCCACCCATCACATGAGATTTTGCACCTGATTTACATCCTTAATTCCTTCTCTCTTTTAGTCGGTCGGAATCACATGTTTAATTTCAGCAAGTGCAACAAAATCATCAATGCATATTTTATATATTACACGATGAATAATACACCAATGGTAGAATAATTAATATAATTCCGAAATTAATAAGTGGAAAAATTCCAAATAAGGACCCAAAGTGCTCTCATTTTCTCAAATAGGGGCCTGAAGTGAACCATGTGTCAAATAAGGAATCGAAGTGCTCTCATTTTCTCAAATAAGGGCCTAAAGTGAATCTTGCTTCAAATAAGGGTTTGAAGTGACCATCTCAGTCTCAAAAAAGGGCCTCACCTCACCGGAGTCAAGGGCATTTTCGCCTTTTAATTTTTTTGATTATTTGATTTTTTTTATTTTTTTTTCCTTTTTAGTTTTTTTCCATAAAAAACAAACTCAAAAATGAAAAAAAAAAAGCTAAAGTTTAAATAAATAAAAAACACAAGGGGGAGGCCAGCCCCGCCTATGGCCGCCGGCCCACCTGCGACAAGGCGGCGGCCACAGGTGGGGAGGGCTGGCTACCAGCCCTGCCCCCTGTTTTTCTTCCAAAAATGCCCTTGGTTGGCCGGAAAATTTGGCCGGCCGGCGAGGTGAGGCTTCTATTTGAAACTATTATAGCAATTTCAGGTCATTATTTGAGAACATAAGTTCATTTCAGGCCCTCATTTAACACAAAGTCCACTTCATGCCCTTATTTGAGAAAATGAAAACACTTCGGATCTTTATTTAAAATTTTCCTTTAATAAATTGATTGAGAGTAGAAATAAATCTTCTTTTTATTTTTTCTTTTTTTGGGTTTGTAGAACCAAAAAATCTTCTTTTTTGCTAAAAATCGTCTTAGGAGATAATAATAATGCAAAACGCGATCGCCTCTTCTTCTTGTCCTCTCTCTATAGTTTTCTTTGGTTTTCTCTCTCTCTCTCTCTCCGTGCGTGTGTGCGTTGAACCTGTCAAGCCGGCATTTAACCATTTCATACTTCAGCGAGAAAGTTCGCTCCTTTCAGCACCTTTCGTTCTTATTAAGTAAGCTCCCCCTTCCTTCCTCCCTTCCTTCATCATCTTCCCCTTCTTCTGTGGGATTCGCTCGGCCAAATTCGCTTCGACCCACCGACGGTTTCACGGCCTTCGAGGATCGAGCGACCCGAAAGATGCATCCTTTGCGAGTTTGACGAGGTGGGTCGATCCGAATTTCGATCCTTTTTCCGTGTTCGATCCAGATTTCGAAGCTTTTTTCGTGTAAATTATCGGATCCTTCGGGTATCGTTGTTGGTTTTCGGTTTTCCGGTTGTGGGTGCAATTTGAGATGGTCCATCTCCGTAGCTCGAACTCAGCTAAGCTCGTTGACCAGTTGGGGCTCATGGCGAGTTCCGCTAACTCGGTCGATTCGTTCCTCAATTCGAGGATGGGCAAAGCCAGCTATCTCTCCCAGAGGAATAGGAGATTGCTCAATTCGGCGGCGAGCCGATCGAATTCGCCGTCGTCTTGCCACCACCATGGATCTCGATCGGCTGCGGTCGATGTCGTCATTCTGATTGCTGTCGTGGGTGCCTGCGGGTTTCTGCTGTTCCCGTATGTGAAGTTCGTAGCCGTCCAGCTGATCGAAAACGTGGGCCCGATCACGAGCGTGATCAAGGAGGAGGTTGCTGAGGCTCCGTTGATTTATGGATCGATAGGACTTAGCGTGTGCTGCGCCGCTTTCGCTATGTTGGCCCTGGTGGCGTGTTTGGATCGGAAATGCGGGAACCCGAATTGCCGGGGACTGAGGAAGGCGGCCGAGTTCGATATTCAGCTGGAGACGGAGGAGTGCGTTAAGAACTCGACCGCCAAGGAAGATTCAGAGAGGATGCTGTTCGAATTGCCGACAAACCAGCACCGAGAACTCGAAGCGGAATTGAAGAAGATGGCGCCGCAGAACGGGAGGGCCGTTCTTGTTTTTAGAGCGAGGTGTGGGTGTTCTGTTGGTAGATTGGAAGTTCCGGGGCCGAAGAAGCCGCGAAAGATCAAGAAATAGAAATGGGTTTGGTTTGGTTTGGCTTGGCTTGGGGGAACTATATAGCACAGACAGAGTAATCATAACAGAGAGAAGGGGCTTTTATGATTAGCCTTGTATGAATAATAATTTGCGAATATTTATCTCACTGCAAAAACTTGTGGGGATTATATACACCTAATCATTACACTTTCCTCCATCAGCTTATCTGTGAACACAGCCACTTATGGATTGATTTACTTTTTTGTGACCAAAAGTTCCTTTCTTTTTTATGGCCCTCACCGGTAGTGCCTTATCTATATGCAGCTTATCATTGATGCAGCACCCAGGGCTTTAGGTTTTGGTTAATCTTTCAGTATCTTGAGTGCTTTATTCTTTAGTGGAGCATCATGTATATAAAACATGAAGATAATTACTGAAGTTCTTAGTGCATAGCGAATCGGCATCTCCACCTATCCTCATAGTTATACATCTCAAGAACTTTCCAGCATCTGCTAAAATTAAATAATGGAGCTTTCTGATGCACCATTGGTTCATAGTGAATAGCACTAGCAACATATCAAGGTTAATCAGTTGAGTTGCTGGGGTCAATGAGATTACTGATGCTTGTGCATCTTATTGCTGCTGCAGGTTATTATTTGAAAAGCATATGAATGACTCATCGTCAGCATTTGAACTGTTATGATCATATTTCTACATGTGCAACACATTCCTTCCCCACAAGATGCCCTTACACGGACTTCTGCACTATCATGGGTTACATTACTTATAGAACTTCTGAAGACTTTGTCTGTATTGCAGTCTGGCACTGATATAACTGTATTTGTTTGTCACGAAACTAAGCACTTTTAGTATTTCTCTGTCAGTGTATTCGCATATCGAGATCTAAGTGCGCAAATGTTGATTACAATCTTAGAGAACTTGTGATGATCTTGCATGTACTACAATCTACCACTGACATAAAAGCATTCATCCTTGATGTTATGAGATTAAGCACTTTCAATCATTTTCTTTCAGTGTAATTGCAATTCAAGATCTGATTTACAGATATCATATTGATGCGAAATGATTTTAATAATGTAAATTTTTCAGTATAGGAATATGCTAGTTGTCTGTGGGTTATGACTAGTTTCACTACGGTTCCTATATATTCTGAGTTTTAGTGCACTTGCAGAGCTGAATTGGTATTATGCTAGTGAAATGTTTAGTTTGATTAGAAATTGCATTTGAATGAGTTGATGTTCGTGTCATTACTTCTAGAGAGATTACTATCCCATTGCTTGCAGTGATAAGTTTTTAATTCTTCATCGAGGTTTGGTCGCTGTAGCAGCAACTATGGTTTTTCTGCTAAAAGATTGATCAATCCTAGTTATACTTAGTCTATGCCAGGGAGCGCCCACTACCGACTTTGTCTGTGCTGTTATTTTCGAAGTTATTGTTTTTGTAGATGCATTTGCCATGCTGAGGTTATGTTATGTGTTTGGCTTTATCATTATGTGGACAAAGAAAAGAAATGTGGGATGATTACCTGGTGAAGTGGAAAAAAGGTGGCATCAAGAGAGTCTAGTAAGTTTGATGATAAGTTATGAAGCATTAAATCCTAGTCAGAGACAAATATTTCTTGATATAGCTTGTCTTTTCAATGGATACGATAAGAATACGGTAATATAGATATGGGAAGACTATTGTTTATGCCCAACAGAAGGTGTTGAAATTCTTCGGTTGATGCATTAATTAAAATTGGAGAAGATAATAAATTGTGGATGCATGATCAACTGAAAGATCTTGGTAGAAAAATTGTTTCTCGGAAAAGTTGGGGGTGTTAGATAAGAAAAATAGGCTGTGGAATCACAATGACGTGTTGGACATACTACAAAGGGAGAAGGGAAATCCTGGGTCCGATTTCATTTGTGTGCGAGAAATCACATTTTAGTAATCGGGGCACTTTCCCCTCAATGAAAATGATCACAATTTATTCAACATACACAATTTTAACATTTCCACGTATTTTACGAACTTTTCTTAGAGTACTAAATACAAAGTTTCAAAACCCATGGTCGGTCCTCTCCAAATTGATCCATAAAAATGCTTTGAGCAAACTTAAAAATCTTTAGATATGCCCAATTATCTAGCTACAAACTTTGCCTCAAATTCAAAGAAGACCTACATCATTCTCTTAATTAGCTAACCGGGTTCTTCTTTTGCTTAAATTTTCTTGTTTGCTCTTTTAGAGAAACGAAAAGCTCGAAGCCCTCTCTTTGAAGTTTGAGGATTGGTCAGAGTATCGTTTTACTCTTGAAGGATTTTCAGCGCGGCCAAATTTAAGGTTTCTTCATGTTGATAGCCGACCCATTGCTTGTGACAGCCAACCCATTGCTTGTGACGATGTTTACCGTTTTCTCTCCCAAGCTACACTTCTTTGGCGTAACTTGATCATTTCGTCTATGGACTTTAGACTGTGCGAGAACCAACTCCTTCCAAATTTAAGATGGATGGCTCTCTTGGCAGAATTTTTCCCGATGAACACTCAAGAGAAGGTATTTTTCGGTGCGTAGATTAGTCATTCTTGATTTCTCAAGGTGTAAAATCACTCACGATTGGAACGGATGGAGACATATCAAGGTACCCTCAGCTCTAGAGAAGTTTTCTTATCAGTGTTTACGTTTCCTTAATGTAACAGATTTAATGTAAGTTCCGAACCTTTCCGGGTGTGAGCACTTGACCAAAACTCCTGGTTTCTCCAAATTGTTAAAGTTGGAGAGACTGATTCTCCGAAAATGTGAAAGATTAGGTGAAATCGACTCGTCAATTGGTCAGTTTTATTTTTATTTTTTTTGTCATAAAATTGGTCAATTGAAGTACTTGGTTCTCTTGAATTTGAACTTCTATAGTGATCTTCGCTATCTACCACTAGTGTTGGGTGGACTAGCAGTTCTCATAGAACTTCTCCTTTATAAAACTTCCATATGAGAAATTCCTAATTGGTGGGGTATGGAGAACTTGGAGAATTCTCATGTTCAGATTTCAACATCAGCAAAAGTAGGAGATTCACTCAATTGTCTAACTTCCTTGTCGAAGCTTTCATTGGACTATACAGATATTACTCACCTACCAAGCTCCATTAAAGCGCTGACAAACCTTAAAAGCTTGCATTTGAATGGATGCTTGGAAATGGGCAGACTTCTACATTCCATCATTGAACTACGATCATTGACTCAGTTGGATCTATTAGAAACGGGAATCACGCAGATTTTTTACTTTATGGAAAGTTTGGAGAATCTGAAAGAATTGAAATTATGGTGGTCCGAAGTGCCTAAACTTCCCATAAGCTTCCCTTCTCTGACGATCGCGTATCTGTATCTAAAAACAATTCCTGATCTTTCAAGCCTGATCAATCTGAAACAATTGTTACTATCAATGGGAGTGCATGATACCTCTGGCCCATCCGAGTTGGTGCAACTTCAAGATCCCATGCCTTGGTGGATTGGGAGGCTATCCAAATTGGAAGCCCTGACATTGACGATCCCACGCATGACTAGCCTATCTCCTGAATTAGGTGCACTTCCTCACTTGAAGTCTCTTCATCTTTATAGGTGCCACGCTCTGGGATGCATGCCACATATTCCTTCGAGTGTCTCAAAGCTTCATGTCGTAAATTGTCCGTCACTTACCACACTTGATCTCTCAAATTTGAAGAACCTATCGAAACTATATGTCCTTGCCACACCTGTGGTGGATCTTTCTGGGCTGCTAGCATGGAAAATGGAAACAAGTGAGGACTATCATGAGCCCGAAATGGATGATGATTTGAGGCAAAAGTTGTTTGAACAGCATGGATACACAAAACTTTTGCCACTACTCTAGATTTGCCTGTGTCAGGCTGAAAGATTCTGAGTTTAGGATTTCAAGGATACAATTCGAAAATTGTATCAGAAGATATCCTACATACCTGAATTTTTTAATATACTTGAAAGATTTTCCCTATATACTCTCTTTTGTTAACATCAAGTTAAGCTAATTGCATGATGAATCAAGTAAAGAGATCGCGACATTAAGCCACGTTAAACTCTCATGTACAAGAAATAATAGAGCCATCCATACTTTGATGACAAATAAAAATAATTAGACATGTATCTATAAATTTTATTAGATGAATGATCAAACATCTATGGCAAATATAATTCTATCTCGTTCTAAAATTTCTTTTCTCTTAATTTAAGTTACATTACCCGATTGCGCATATTTCAAGAATAGATATCTAACATAATTGTTTATGAGTGATACGTGTGTTTCGAGTTTATTTTTTAACTAAATTATTTTGTATATCAATCATCCAACGGTGAATGTGTAAATATATTTTAAGCCGGACCTAATAAAAAGTTCAAATTTATAATACTTCGTGAGGGTATAGTTGTAAACATATCTGGAAATTTATTGACAATATGATCAAAATCCTGAATCTGATCCTTGATTATTTCATAATCGATGAGAACAAAGTTCGCCATTTGGCGTCATTCATACGACTTTATAGTAGATAAGAACAAGGTAAATTTGAATAACATACAGAAACCCACACGAAAAAGGATTTTGCCATATTTCACAAATAAACTACTAAAATACCGATAAAATATTACATAACAAGAGAGCTCATATTTGACGAACAAGTAATATAAATATGATCTAAATTAGATGACAACACATGTTTTACATGCAAATTGACTGATACGGCTCATGTGAATTGGGCTAACTAAGCTAAGAGTTCCCGAAAATAGCTCCGAATGAAGGGAACAGAGGAAAGCTTCGAAAGAGGGAAGAGTTAATAAAGGGCAAGTTTAGTCTAATCATATTTCCAGCAGAGTCAGCTGCCTGATCGATGTCCAAGAAGGTTTACTACAATCTTCAGAAATAGATTACAATGAAACAGTCATTCCAGAAGAACACAAACAGAGTAATAAAGGCCATAAAGCAGTGACGACTCCCGCCTAATCGTCACTGCATTTCATGTTTCTTTCCTTTCAGACAAAGAAACAACCTAGTCAAGTTTCAGTGTTTAAATCGATGCGGAAGAGTCGCAACAGGTTTGATCCACTGAACTATCATTGATTTAACACAGAACTCTTAAAATTCCACAGAACTCTACAAACATGTTCGGCTGCGTTCATATAGGTAGAGATAAGTATATTCACAACTAGTCAAGTTGTATTTGGGGTGTTCCTAGTAGACAAGTACAAACTTCTGCGGATTGAAAAACCAGCCACGCATGCGCCAACCCACTAGGTAACATCTTCAAGATGGAGAATCTCTTCAAACAGAGAAACAGAGGACCAGAAATCTTTATTTGCACATAGGAAGCTAGGATTTGTCCAGGAACAACTAATCTGCCCCTGAAAAAAAGAGCACTGCATTACCCAATCTTCAGTCACACTGTCACTGCAATCCAAGACCTGCATTTTGTCACTGATTTTGAGTCTGCAAAGTAGCAATGAAAACACAAGTCAATATTTGGCCCGTGGTTGCTCAACATATCAGGATTCCACAACAAGGAGGATTCAAGAGAAAATTGACATCCATTCAGAATTGTATCCATTGCTCGGAAACTGTAAATCTAAAGAACAATATGGAAATCTTATCGATGCGCCCAGTCTGAATATTTTCTTTTTTTAGCACCATAGCTCTCTAAATAATCGCAAGAACTTAACAATCTACCTGAAAGAGATGCGGCACTAATGTCTAAGCCAATCACGCGTGTGTAAAGTATGGCGCCACAACAAATTCTTCATATGTATCATCAACTGCCAATTAACCTAGTATTTTCGCAAAAGAATGTAGATGTAGGGAACAGTGGCACCATCGGGCCAATAGCAGATTGTTAAATTACAAGTATATTCATCTGTGCAAATGAAAAGGGAAAATTCCTTTAAGGAGCGGCATACCTTAGGTCACTTTAGGATTACCAGGCAGATCTAACTAACAGAAAAAATGAAAGAGCTCCTCAGTTCTTTATTAGTCTACCTGGCCTTCAACCAATTCACCGACCACAAAATTTTTGAACTTTGTCCTCCAGAATCCAGATTAGTAAAAAATAGAGGGTATACAGACCCCCTTGTACCCTTTACTGGCCATTTTCTCGCAGGGGCAGAAATTGTATGGAAAAACTGAACTTCAAAGGCTCAAAAAGAGTCACATACCCAAAAAGTTTGAATTTTTAGCATACCCAAAATGCTACGAATAGAAGTAATGCAAATCAGGACAACCTATTCAAATTTCTGCTGAATCATGAATCATGCTAAGGTAATTTGAGAATGTCGGCATTGTCTGCAAGAGCTAATGCTCGCTAGAAATGGGCACAAACCTGAAGCGGACTCGGCATCGTGACGGATGAAGAAGGCTCCCTATGGAGCTCCCTGACGACGGCCGCGAGCGCCTCAGGGTTCACGCCCAGGTCGCAGAGGGCGATGAGGACGGAGAGGGTGTGGCGGTCGAGCCCGGTGTCGAGAATGTTGGACATGCGGAACGCGAGATCCAGGGATTCCCGGGCGGTCCGGGCAGCTTCCTGGTCCATCGCCCGTCGATCAATACTGTCGATCTGCCCACACAGACCGGAATCGAAATAGCCTGCTCGTTACAGGCCAAGCCCCTCAAAGCATTAAGCGACAAAAACCCCAGAAAAAAGCCATAGCCGCAGAGCACAATTTGATCAAGGGTTACCAGAATCGCTCGTTAGCCTGCGATCGCCGGCGATCTGGACGGCCGGATGCGGCGCTCTCCGGCGACTCTCTTGTTGAACGAATGAATGAAGAAGAAGAAGAAGAAGAAGAGAGCGAAGGAAGAGCGGAAGATGTAGAAGTAGCTGATTCAAAAGATTTTACTAACAAATTGACTCTTTTTCCCTTTCATTTTCACTATTCCTGACTCACACATATCCTAATGTATTTTTCACTTTATTACGTAAAACACAATAAACTGGGCGTATCGTTAGTTCGAAAAGAAATTCTATTGCATAAGTAAACGGCGGATTGCTAATATTTTTCCGTCGATATCCGTCGATTATAATTTCTCAATCATAAGTTGTGGTGTGAGAGTTAAATATCTCCGACCTCATATATGGGTAGAATGCAATACATTCTCTTTTACGATGGAGAAGTTCATTTCAAACATATGAGTCTTGAATTTATGAAATATCCCGGTAATTATCATAACGTTTTGAGAAAATCGAATCACTTGATGTTAAGCAAACTTAACAAATTCTTTTGAAAGTGAAAATGTTATTGTGATGATCTTGCATGTACTACAATCTACCGCTGATATAAAAGCACATGTCCTTGATGTTATGAGATCAAGCACTTTCAATCATTTTCTTTCAGCGTAATTGCATATCAAGATCTGATTTTACAGATATCATATTGATGCGAAATGATTTTAAATGTAAATTTTTCCAGTATAGGAATATGCTAGTTGTCTGTGGGGTTATGACTAGTTTCCCTATGGTTCCTATAGATTCTGAGTTTACATGGTACTGCCTTTACTTATGGCATGAGTTATCTTGTTATAATGCACTTGCAGAGCTGAATGGTGTTATGCTAGAGAAATGTTTAGTTTGGTTAGAAATTGCATTTGGATGAGTTGATGTTCATGTCATTACTTCTAGAGAGAGCACTATTCCATTGCTTGCAGTGATAAGTTTTTAATTTTTCATCAAGGATTGGTCGCTGTAGCAGCAACTTTGGTTTTTCCGCTAAAAGGTTGATTAATCCTAGTTATACTTAGTTTACGCCGGGGAGCGTCCACTACCAACTTTGTCTATGCTGTTATTTTCAAAGTTATTGTTTTTGCAGATGCATTTGCAATGCTGAAGTTCACATTGCTTATGCCCTAGGTTATTTCGTGGTTTTCCATGAGATGTTTGCATATTTTCTAATCAATTGGGGTACTTAGAGTTTCTTATCTAAGTTATCCTCTCATCATATAATAGAGAATTTGCCCTGTTAGGTTTCTAGTTTAAACTTGCTATATACCGTTCAACGTAATTGTCGGGGCTTTTTGACTACGCTATCTTTGTGGAGCAAAAGCAACATGAGAGATGTGTAGCAATGAGGCAATGTCAATTCGCCGTAAAGGCCATGATGAATAAAAGGAGGTAGTATTGTTGCATTTCTTCTGGCAATTGAAATTCTCTGCTACTGGTTCGTTGGGAAATATATAAGAATGCGATGGAACGGCCTTAAGGCTTTCGAATGGCAAAGCCTCATCAAGGTGCCAGATTCATACTGCAGCCCAAACTCTTTTTATCTAGGGATGCAAAGCAGTTTTAGAACACCAAGGGAAGAGTTTTTAAGGCAAAAGGAAATAGAAAATGTTGGGTTTGGCTTGCTGCTGAATCATCCGGTTTACTGAACTGGCTTTTTCTGAACGTGTAACTCATGAATGCGCATCTTAAAACTATCGTCTTGTTTATCTTTTCGTGATGTCAGCCCTAGTTGATATTTTTCCAGCTGCTGGTTCACTTGAACTGTATCAGTTAGCCACTATAGAGTAGATGTTGTGTAGAGAGGGGAGAGATGGAATGTGCCTCTTGCATGAAGTACAGAGGCGATTAAAATTACTAATCAGCTAATGATTAAGCTTAGGAAACTAGATGTCCCTTGGCCTAATCATCCATTCTAAGGTTACTACTTCTCTTGTTCGTATCATAATTGTATCTGGTTCAAACTTTTTGAGCCTGCTCGGTGCATCAGTGCCTTCCAACGGAATTCATGCTTCTGGGAAGTCTTTTTCTTAGATTTTATTGCTGTTTCTGTTTATATTATCCTAATGTTCAGTTTCTTGCTGAGAAGAACTAAAGAAGCAGTTGTAGTGTTTCACAGTCCTCTATACTACACCGTGGAACTAAAATTTTCACTCCCTATTTTCTTCAAGGCAATGTCTTTCAGTTTTCCTGCTAATAACGAAACATCCTGATGCTTTCAGATTGCTCGATTAATCCCTAGTCAATGTGCTTCAATGTGGTAGTGCCCCGTCCCTAAGGCCGTTGTGTAATTATCAAAGCACACGAGTTTGTGCGTCCAAGAAGACAAACAGGTGGGGTGATACAAACTTGGATCTTGAGTGAAGTTGATGGAGACGCTTCGTCACTTGAACGAACCCTCAAGATCATGTCTTCGCTATTAGCCCGTAACTAAGTTATTCTAAATGTATAATGCAATCAATAATAAAGCTTGTGCGAGGTGTCTTGCCCGCTGTTTGTAAACCTGTTACGCACATCATATAGTAGGTGATCACCCGAAACGCCGTGGCGCAGAGATATTCTCCCCAAGCAATCCAAATCACCATGTGTGTATATTTCTCAGAAAGACGATAAGTTACTTAAACTGAAACCCACGTGGTTAGAGCGAGGGACTTTCCCTAAACTGACAGTGCCTAGTAATGTCGATTGCAATTGCTCAAACCTCATTGGAGGGAGCTCTTGATTTGATAGATGAGTCAAGAGCCGGTTCCAGAAATAGTCGATTCAAGTACTGTTTTCAAGGATTTGGCCCACATGTTTCTGTCATGTCCTTACAATAGAAGTGAGATGACTGCCCTTATAAACTGGAACAACTGCAATAACAGATCTTATAGCACCAAAAACGAAACGAAAAAGGAAGGGGACAAGATTATTTTTATTGTGTTGTTGACGGAAAGTTGTTTTCTGGGGCCTTGATCAACTGTTAATTAATCATATAGTTTTTGTTGATCCGCAAGGAGATAATATATTCTGCTTTTAGATTAAAGTATGTCGTTGCAGAGTGATCTTTCAACCACTATGAATAAACTCAAATGACGTGAATCATAATTTAATACAATTCGCATGCTACATGTTACATTGTACAAGTTACAGAATATTGCCTTCACTGGATGTAGCCAGAACTGCATGTAGCTGTAAAAAGCAAGACATGCATTTATATATATGCAAACCCTGCATGTGACTCCAAAAAGACATGCATAAAGAAAACAGAAGTTCCCTTTTTCTTGTAAAAGTGAAAAAGGAAGTCCTTAGACTTGAAATTTAATTTAAGAGAGGCATCTTGTGGTCAGGAAAATGGGAATAATTGGAATGCCGGTGACCTAATGAGCCTGCCTTCTCTGAATGAGATGTTGTCGAGCTTCGCTTGGCACCATTTGAGCTGAGAAGAGGAGATTGTGGACATGTGAAGGACTTTTGAAGCAAGGCCCAAGTCAACGAGCGTGAGCAAAATTTCTTTCCTTTGAGACTCTGCAGGAGGGCCAATCTTTGTTCTCTTCTTCAACCAACACCTCTGCTTCCCTCGCAAATCCTTCAACCCTAGTGTCTTCTGCAAGAACAATAAAAAAATCTTTACCAACTTCGTTTTCGAGCTTTCCACTTTGTACGGGGCGAATAAGGAAAGAGACGAGTTTTATTGCAAGTCACGTCTCTTCAAGAAAAGATTGGAAATGCAGGCGTGCATGGAGATAACTTATGCCGACACGAGAATTTTATTCTTGTTATTGGGGTGTGTGTTTGGTACTAAAAATGGTTGAGTTGGAGCGAACAAAATTTGAAATTTAACTTTCACCTTGCGGTGTGTCTGATTCAGATCAGCAAGAAGTTGGAGATCTCTAGGATCTTCAACAGGTGAATAGCTCCACAAGGAGTTCTTGAGCTTCCACCAAGTCTTATCATTGTCGTGATCAGTCTTGATGAAAATATAGAAGGCCCATATGCACTTCTCTATGGCGTTGGCAACTTCTTTCAGGTCCATGGCTGCTTCTTTTGTTCCTACCGTTTTTCCTCCTGAAATCACTCGGGAAGGACATATAAGAAAATACCCAAAAGTTTGAAATTTATATGCGTCGAGTGCAATCTTCAATTTTAACAACCGCCATAAAAGATAATATTCTTCACAAGCGGTCTTGACCACCAGAAAATCGTCCATCTTCAATTGCTTAGCTGTGTAAAAGGGTCTCTCCGCGATTTGTAGGTTTCTCATGAGAACAGTGATTTTCATCAATCATGTTTGTCATGGAGATCTTATCAAGAAGGTTAGAAAACATAAGAGTCATTTGCAGTTAGAGGAACTATTGGACATATTGCACATCCACATAATAAAACTTGAGGGAGATAGAGAATGCATTCCAATCCGTGGATTTTTTTTTTTATCTGGGTGCAAGTAAGATGTTGTAGAATTTCAAAAGGATAAGCATACATGAATGTTTTGGTAAGAAGGTCAAATGAAGACTGAGATATTGTTCTTAAAAGAACTTGATAGATCAGGAGTGAGATAATGAGATGGACCCCCCTCAATTTAGAAGTGGAAAATCAGCCTATTAGCTAAAGTGTCGCTTTTACTCCTCCTGAGAACCAGAAAACAAAGTTCATCTCCATGCAAGATGCTACTTCCCCAAGCAATTCAAGAAAATACACGTCAGTCTTATCATGGATAAACTTTGCCTGAACAATACAATATGTTATAGGTATAGTCATTCAAGATTTATTGGTTAAATTCGTAATATACCTGTTAATTCAGGGACTTGGAGGAGACTCTTGAGAGAAAACCTTGCTTGGACATATTTCAAGTATCTCTTCCCTTCACACCTTTCATCCTCCAAGAATCTTTCCAATAGGACTTGGAATTTTTGGAATTCACCCGCCAGATCGTGGTGAAATACCGAGGCGGATTGGAGAGAAGAGGTTGGAGAGTGAGTGAGGTCTTGGACCTTTTGGTATTGGTGATTGAGAGCCTCCCATGACAAGCATGCTTGAGCCACATAGACCAGCTCAAAGTCGCATTGTATGCTTCTCAAGAGTCTCTGCTTCGAGAGTTTGGTTAGTGAGAATTGAGGGATGGTGAAATTGGCCGACTCAATGCTGTTCAGAGGTGAACCAGCAGTCCCCAATTCCTTTTGCAGCATCGCACCTACAGAATGACACCCATTCGAACTCGGTCAATAGTCAATATTGAAAAAAAATTAAAAAATTAAGCAACCCTTTGTCTTGTTCATCAATGGAAACTATCGTGTTGATCTTGAATGAGCAATATTTCTGACCCAAGTTTTAGCTTGCTTGCTAACGCAGATAAAAAGTCACTTTGTATGCATCGTATTTCGTTCAGTTCGACGTGATATTTTGTAAGACGTGTGAAAGTTGAGAATTTTATTTCTGTTGTGCATGGTATGCATAACAGAAATAAAATTCTCAACTTTCATGGTATGCATAACAAAGAAAGATTCCATAGCATGGGGGATATCTTCTTATGCAATGTGATGATGAGAAAACATACTGATTCCACAGGTCCTTTCGCCATTGAGGGTGTCGAACCATCCCATGCGCTCGATGTACGTCCTGTAGAAGGGATCAGCCTCGATTGTTCCATCGTCATCGGCAACTTCTCTAAGCATTGACAGTGGCGGAACATGAGTCTCACAGGTCGAAGTTGAATACTGATTTACATCGGTGTCTTCTTCCAGTGTCTCTGCCAAAATATCAGAGCCTACTGGTTCAGAGCCCAAAGGGGGCAAATCCAAGCTACCAAAAACCGAACTCGGAAGCGGACACTCGTCCATAGAGAAACCTTCTTCTGTTGCTAAGTTTGACATTGAAAAGGAAGACGCATGCTCATTCAAGTTCACTTCAACTTCAGGACTAGACAAAGTGCGCATGTACTCATTGTCATCAACATTAAAGTCATCTTGACAGGCATCAACAACAATACATGGTTCAACTTCGAGCTCCTCTGTAGCATCTTCGAAGCGAACTTGCTCTTCTTCGACTTCCTCATATTTCCTAGGGATAAACTCTGCTTCTAGCTCGCATGTCACAGCTGATGCTGCAAATGAGAAGCTATAAGACAGAAATTCCGTAACACTTTCATCGGCGGTCTCCAAAACTTCATGATGCTCAACCTCTTGACCATCGTTTTGATAGTCACCGACTCTATTGGACCGAAAACAATAGAAGACGGCACATTTAGCTGAACCATAGAGATGACTCCCCGGAAACAGAACTATCCTGAGCAAGGCTAGGATGAGAGACAAGACCCAATCTAACGGAGTCTTGAGAAAGAGAAAAATCAGGCATGCAACGAGAAAGAGAGGGTGGATATAGAAGCTCAAATAAAACCACTTCCGTAACCCATTTGGGAGGAGGGCTGATTCAATCAGGTACCAAGTAGAGCCATACAAAGCCATTTGTCTATCCAATCAACTCATCAGTTATATCTCCCGACGGACTTCCTCCATTCTTGATCCTAGAAGACCATAGACTTATGGAGGTTCTTAATTCGAATCTCTTTACGCAGGCAAAGGCGGTATTATATACAAGCCGGCCGATGGCTAACCAATGCAATGAAAAATTCCATGAGTTGAACAATACTGTTTTTGCTTCTGGTGAGTCATGGTCATTGGTCATGCAGGATTGGAATAATTTATTTGACACTTACTTCACAAGGAAGACTGAGTCTTGGCGCGGAATATGGACGGTACATGTCTTGACTAGCCCTTTCAGGGGTATATTTAAATGTTCCGCCACTTGTTTGCTTACTCGGATCTTATCCAGCACGAGGGACAATAGATAAGTACATTTCGTCTCCTGATCTTATCCAGCAATGGGGAGTGAACCTGCAAGATCCGCAAATATGTCACGCTTCCAAACTTGGGGACCAATCAAGTTTTGGAGCAGCGGAAAGCAACCGGCTTGGAAAATATCAATTTCGAATTCTGGTGGACGCATCCATCGTGACAACGTAATAGGGATCTTACTGAATTTTCATCTTAATCAAATGTTAGAAAAACTTGGCTCCATATTGCCATCGCTGTCGTTGCGAAACAAGGTTTACGCAACCAGTTCTGTGTCGGACTCCCGGCATATGTTAACATAGCTAGCCCGCATACGAATACTAGCTGTACGACCAAATTTATGAGGGTCGACTGTACGAGACGAAGTAAAAAAGCTCGAGCGTAGAATTTCCAAGATGTCCATTGTGATATACCTTCGCTTGTTCCGGGGGCACGAGGTTTTGCTAATCGCTCTTCACTACTTTGAACAGACCGTGATACTGAATAGATTACCAGGTTCGGGTATCATTCGGACAGTTTTTTTCTATGGGCAAACCGACGACTTCCTCCTGATCAAAGTTGCTCGTATGATCGAGGACTGGTCAACTAGTGTTATTTCATTGTTCCTTCTTCGTATTCACGGCAGAATTTTCTTGTACAGGAGGAAAAGAAAAGGGTTAATACCATGAAAAACCTCAAACCGGTACATCTGTGATAAATTTATCCCAAATTATTTTTGTGATCACAAAAAATCCCAAACTGGTACACCTGTGATAATTTTACTCCGAACTAATTTTTTGACCATCAAAAACCCCAAACTGGTACACCTGTGACAAATTTACCCTCCATTAGTTTCCGCTAAATTTTACTGCCAAATTGCTAAGTCTGATGACACGTGGTAATTGATGGGTGTACCAGTTTGGGGTTTTACCCTCTTTGTTTGTCACAAGTTTACCAATTTGTGATTTTTCGTGATATTAATCCAATTTAACGGACACTAACGAAGGATAAATTTGTCACAAATGTACCAGTTTTGGGTTTTTGGCGGTTAAAAAATTAGTTTTGGGTAAAATTATCGCAGGTGTACCAGTTTGGGGTTTTTGGTGGTCAAAAAATTAGTTTTGGGTTTTTGGTGATCAAAAAATTAGTTTGAAATAAATTTGTTATAGATGTATCAATTTGAGATTTTTTGGGGTATTAACCTAAAAGAAAATAGGAATGCAAAAGGACGTGCAGGGTCATCCGTCACGAGACTCGGGAGTAGGTCTTGGTCTTGAGCCACGGGCATCGGTAAGTGAACGGTATTTGCATCTGTCTCTGTCTCTCTCTTTCTCCCCCGCCATGCACGCGCAGATGATGTGACGTCCCCGTTTGGAGGAAACAAGGAAGAAAGCACAAATTAATAGCCCGCCCCAGTACTGTCCAACACTCTAAATCAAGATGATGCTTTCAAAAAAGGTCATTTAAAAGAGAATAGAATACTACAGACGTGCAAACGGACGAAACGGTGGTAAGAATTTCAACCAGCAGAGTCGAGCTGAAGGAGGAGAGAGATTAGGGGGTAAGTCAAGGTCAATCCCACGCGCGGTTGGTCCTTGTAGCGACTGGGACACGACAAGGAGGAGAATGGCAACAACCCACAAGTTGTTAATAGAAACAGAGACTGATCGTCAAATTTTCTTTCTCGTTTTTCGTCATGAAAGACGATGCCGCGGTCAATGCAATAGGAAGTTTCCGGGAAACTGCGCAGGTCGGACTGTGTGTATTCCGAGCGTAGAGAATTGGTGAACTGCCATGATTATACAATTGGCGCATTTCAGAAATGACATGAGAATGAAAGAGAGAAAGAAACAACCTGGCTTGTCATTTGGTTTAGCTAAGTTTAAGGTTTTCTTCTCGACTTCAACTCTTGCATCAATGTATAACAATACATGGGTGGTTCTAAATCCTTAGGAGTACCCGAGACGGTTTGAGTCTTTTTAGGATAGACAAAATAATCCCCACTTGCATATTCTTATTATAGATATATAGGCAGTGTACCATATGGGTTCGGTCCTTGGATTGCGTTCATATCTATCCATGAGATTTAAAGCAATTTTGCTTACTAATTTGGGATCGCGCACCAACCGGGACCACATATCAGTGAGCTAATAACCTCGGCCAAACCTTAGTTTAAAATCTTGCGAGCCCCCCAATCGTACACTACCAGTACGCCAACCCTGTCAATTTATCCCGAAATCTAACATCATTAGCTCCGCAAAAATTTGCATTTCAACTTCTGGTTCCTAGCAAAAAAGAATCCCCGGCAGAAACCCCAAAATAGTAAAAGATCTCTTGAGAGATTGGTGACCAGGTCAATAGAAGTGTAAGAGAATGGCATCTCCATCATCAATGAGCTGTGATGCGAAGATTTCGTTGGAATTATGATGCAGGAAAACAAAAATCCATGTCAACAGCAATGGATATTAAAGCATGAAGCTACTTAACAACTATGACAATAGGAGAGAGAGAGAAATTCAGAACCTCAGCTCTTACATTAGGGACAACCATTCTTGTACCATACATAAGCAGCAAGCAAATTCATTAAATTATAGGCCACTGAAGATGGCAAGCTACGCAAGTTAGCAAAAACTTTATTGAAAAAAGCAGTCATGAAAGAGAACATCATGCTTGCTCAAAATATCTTAACTGAAGAATCAGTCATCATCTTCACGCACCACAAAACTCCCAGGATTGATTGTAATACTCTTGGTGCAGTTGTCAGTTTTGTATATTCCCACAAGTCGATCCGCAAGCTCAAACATGTTGTTTCTGAGGCTGCACATTGCATAGAGAAAACATGAATATGGTAAGTTGGGAGAAAATTGTCATCTGACATATATTTAGACTATCTCCTACACAAGGTACCTTATAATAATGAATTGGGCGTCTTTTGTACGATCTTTCACATAGTGTCCCACGATAGAAACATTTTTGAAGTCTGAGAAATTATAACACATACAACTAAGCTTGGAACAGAGGCAAGATAAACAGCATGCCAAGAAAAGAATGAAACTCTGGAATGGGCACTGAGTACCTAGAGCAGCATCGATTTCGTCCATCACATATAGCGGAGTGGGTTTGTAGTGATGAAGGGCAAAGACTAGAGCTAATGAGCTGAGAGTCTGAAGATTCAGACATGCAAATGTCATACCAATACATAAAGCTTCACAAAGTAAGAGGGGCAGAACAGCCATGTACTCCAGTTACCTTTTCGCCGCCAGATAAGTTAGCGATATTCTTCCAGCTTTTCTTTGGTGGCCTGACACTGAAGACCACACCTTCAGAGAAGGGATCCAAAGAGTCGACCAATTCAAGTTCCGCATCACCGCCTAGTGTGATCATCTGTTTTCTATAAGATAAGGATCAGAAGGAAAAGTACTACAGGTGCTCAGCACCTGATACAATTTGGAAGCTAGTTTTTTACAAGTGCACAAAAAACTGAGCCCAGTAATTGGAAGATGGACTAGACAAGGCAAGAGATGTGGAAGCACTGTCATCATCCAGAATAGTTAGTGCTAAGCATGCATCAAGAAGTTCATTAATATGGAAAGATCAAATCAACTATTAAAGAGAAACAAATAGAGTCACGTATATTGTCATGAACCTATGCAGACATGTGCAGATGTACGAGTTGTGTCGATATACAATTACTCAAATAGGGGAGAGAAATAAGCACCTGATACATCTCTTTTAATTTCAGAGATATTGTATTGAATCCTGCCATGAACTCATCCAGCCTAATATGAAAATACCAGTCAGAACCATTTCCATGTCAATATGCAAGATAAAAGACAATTATTCTTACCTCTTCTTTCTCCACTCATCATACTGTTTCTTTATGTCATCTCGTTGCTGAGTGATATGATTAAGATCATCAACTCGTTCACTATATAATGCAACTTTTTCCCTGTACCTGTACATGCAAAGATAATTCATATAGAAACTCTTCCGGCGCATCTCAAGGTGCAGAGGATATTGAGAGCAAGGAGAAAAAGTTCCTACTCTGAGATTGAATCGAGATTAGGACTCATTTCCTTGAGTTGTGCTTCTAGTAGTGCCACCTTCTCAAGCGCCCTCCTCAAGTCACAAGTCTCCATCAGAGACTTATCAGTCAATGTAGCTTGAAGCTTTGCAGGATCCACTGAATCTTTGTGAATCCTACAAGAGACAAAATAGGATTTGAAAAACTATGCACTGCTCTGCCAACATCGAATTTCTTTTTCTGTAAACCAACATACTGTTCCATATGTTTTGTAAGTGCAACTTGCTGGTCATCAAGTCTTTTCTGGTAACTTTTTGCCTTCAACTCCAATTCTTTGTATGCCTTCTTCATGTCTTGTAGGTTATAGGCAGAATCAACCTGCAGTACTAAGCAATCCTAATCATATGGCGCTCTTGTGGATGACAGGAGCATGAAGCGGACAAGGTTTTGCCAAATGGTACCTCTGACGCCCGCAATTCATCCACAGACCTTTTCACTTTCTCATATTCAGATTTTGCTTTCTCCAAGACATCTCTATGCTGATCTATAAGCTAAAAGCAAGCACCCAAAGTTAATGACATATCAACAGCAACCGACAACCATATGGCACATGCACAAAGAGAGAACAGACACAACAATACCTGCTGCGTTTTTTTGTAATTTTCTTGAACTTTAAATGCTTTCTGTTCTATTTCTCGGAAAGCAGACCGTAATTTCTCCTTCTCGTCAGCTAGTCTCTCTTTCTGCTTTTCTGCCTCCTCAAGCCCTTTTGTTAATTCCTTTATCTTTTTCTGACCAGACTCTATCTGGTTTTTGTGGC